TCTTGGTGTCTTCCAAGACAGCTTCATCCAGAAACGATGACGAGTTTATCTCCTCATCCGATCGTACAATGACAATTTCGGCCAAATCGCTTGCCTTCAAGGCACTGCCGAACTCATTAAAAAATATCTCGTCCAGCTCAAGAAGAGCATCTACTGCAGACATAGCCTCGAGGCGAACGTCGCCATCTTCCTCCCCCATCATACCGTTGACGAGGGTGTATAACTGTGCACCGTCGTCTACGGTAGAGCACACCCTGGGTCAGGGTCGACGCCCGGCGTCTTGCAGCCAGCATACGGCGTCGCCTCTGTACAGCGGTTCTTTGTCAAGGTGAAACCAGGTTGAACACGCACAAGCTCCGATGTTATCTACAACATCCGACGAAGACCTGCTAACCCCGCAGTCTTCGTCCAGTGGATACCGTGCCACTCCACGCGCATCTGGAGGGCCGTGCCCAAGATGCCTCAGACTCTCTCCGACCACGCTATCAATGGCATGCAGCGACTGCTTCGCAATGAGAGCAGTGCTCAGTGGATAAAGTGCCAGTTTCGTTCAGCCCACAAAGACGCTTGTCCAATACACCTCCCGGATACTCCGATATCCAGCACATTGACCGTCCCGTTCTAGTGCCCGCGTCGATAGCGCTTCTGCTTCCTAGCAGAGGTGGGTTGATGACTCCACCAGGAGACATGCGCGTAGCGTTCATCATCGGCGTTCAATTGATCCATGGATATGGTGTTCCAACCTTGCCATACCAAGGGTAAGGTCATACCTTTACTCCAAGTATAACACTAAGCAGCATTCCTCGCTATCGAAGTCAAGAGACTTAACACCGAGGTCCACAGGGATCCTCGACACAGTGACACTAGGCCTCGTTGTTCAGCAAACAGTGACGGTATCAATCAACCGCGCTTTCAGCGCCTCAGCATACAGCTGACTTCCTTCGAGCGTCGAGAATAATTGCCTGACGCCCCGGAATCAATCAGGATTTTCCATGCTTCTCAAAGCCCTTCACGGTTGCTTTTACGACCAGCAAAACCATATTGCACACACTTATCGTTCGGGGCTGAGCTCTGCTGCCCTCTACCTCTTTGCGGCACAACAGAACTCAGTTCTTTCCTAGTAGGCGCCCCGCACCTACCGGATTTCCGTTTTTCTCCTCGACAAACCAGACTGGCTAGTAGCGGGAAGTCGCTTCGACGAACCTTTACGCGCTTTGCGCAGGGGACAACCAGTCCGAAGATGACGGGTGTCTCCACAGACAAAACACCGTCGGGTGTTTATACACTGCTCGGCAGCTCAGAGCTCTTCCTCCTCTTTCTCGGCATAGTTGAGATCCATTGGCTCAGGCCCGCTCGACGAGCTTTGAGTGTGTACATTACAACCAAATCGTACCAACTTCCAGTTGAAATCGGTAATCAATGCCACATTCACTGCTTCTTCCTTCCATTGCCGCACCAGTACGGAGGCCCTCCATAAAGAAGGTCACAGCAACCGCCTCGGGGAGAGGGTCGGCTGCCATCCCAGCAATAAAAGCTCTCAACTTGGTCAAGGTCCACAAATCCTTCTCGCCCTGTCGGGCAGCGAGGAAACGCGATCGCACGCGATATGCCTAATTAGACGGCGAGAACACTCGCAAAAGCGGACGGTTCAGCTCCTTCGGAAAGGGGCACGCCGCTTCAACCGAAGCACCGCACGTTAGTACCCATTCTAACGCTCGGCACCAGAGCTCGGAGTTAGCTAGCGCCACGCGCTATTGCTCGTTCTAGAGCATGGTGGATGCCATAGGAATCTTGGTCACTCTTACCCTGCGCATAAGATTTTCTCCATACTTACCCTCGAAGGTCTCAACGCTCACCATAAGTGGTCTCAATCGGGAGGAGTCATCCGACGTCGACGTTGGCGTCATGGATGAAGTCGACGCCGACAGCTTCTGCTGTAGGTGCTCTGGCAGAACATTTTCTTAGCTCGAAAATGCCTCTAGGCGCGCCCTTATTGCATCGGGACCTTGCTAAACAAGTGATCCACACCCTCAGAGCCAAATAGGGACATCAGCATATTAAGCTCGATTTGCACTCCCTAGGGAAAATAGTATCCTCACCGAGGATCAGTCGTAACGACCATGGCTTAGATTGACCCCGAGTGCTTCTAAGCGCAGCGGGGGCTGCCGTAGCTCTTTGCTTAGAGGAAGCTAAGCTAAGGTCACCGACCTTACGTTCTTTACAAGATACAGTACGAGTGTAGCAGATCGCAATTCTCTATCTCCCAGAGTACTTAAAGCCTTAACCAAGGTAAAGACGCTCTTTCCTTCGAAATTGAAACTGTATTTAAATTTTTTTGCGGCAGAGCCACCTATACCTAGGCCCTTTGGTTTTTCTGATTAAACTCCTGGCAGTCCTGCCGCGTAGTGGCTTCTTGTTACGGTACAGACAAAGCTATGTACGGTCACACCATCATGTGTGTCCCGTCCTTTCATACAATGTTACGTGTAACCCCGTTACAGAAACACATCCTATAGTGTCTCCTAAAGCACGAAATGGTCGCTCTGGAATCAGAAAAGCTCATCTCAGCCGAGAAAACTCAATTAGGCTTAATCTGGGCAAGCTGGGCGACTCATTTTGCTCTTGGCGTTAGCGGAAAATATTGTGTGTGGGATTGCCTTAGCACGGCAAGCAACTTCATATGGTCCAACACCATGATTACATATTGATAAAACTGGCAAGAGGTGGCATGACTCGTTAACTTTCAAGGCTTAATTCATTGGTGATAAGCAGGACATCGTCGTAAGGTTTACGTCGACCCCACCCGCCGCTGGAAAAGAGCAGGGGCCCGTAACTTGTTCAGAGGAAGGACAGAGCGCAGTGAGCACCTGCCTTCGGTGAGCGACTAAGCCGTTTGGCTTTAGGTGAGGGCAGGAAGATAGGCAACGACTCGGCAAAACGCTGCGACCTTTCTGTCGGAAAGCATCATCTCGGGATTGTCCCCAGTATTTCGTGAAGAGCATCGACCGCAGAAATACGTCTTCCACGATAGCTCGCTGGCCTATTTGATGAGGTTTACGGGTGTGAACTCATGGTATGAATGCACTTCGAGAAGCTTTTTTTTGTACTTTGAGAAGCTGGCTTGATAAAGTGTATAGGGCCGGACAAAAGTGGTTGCTTATTGTGAGCTCACTTTTGCGCAAAGTCTGAAAAATACAAAAGAAGTGTTAGCTCACTGCGGTCTACATCAGTTTGAGGGGGTCCAACGGAGTAAATACTGCACCATTGTGCACTGACACCTTTCATTGTGTACTATTGCGGATATGTAGTAGTATACGATTGTGTAATCGCATGGCACTTTGTGCAGTTAGAGTTTGGTAAGTAACGAGGTCTCAATACATATAAAGATGATGTCCGTGGTACATGCGGGCCGGCGAGCCGCGTCTCAAGTAATGAAGACAGCATTTTGATGAGATATTAAAGCGTATACATATTTAGCATACGTCTAAATAAAACCAGTTCTAAAACATGTGCCCAAAAATGCAAGTTAAACTAGACTGAGTTACTATGGATGCTCTCGGTTCTGCTTTTATCGAAGCGATGAGCCCATAATTCCTTTATTTGATTTGACGTTTTGGTGTTGAAGCATCCTCAAAGTGCACATCAACCCGGTGCGATGTACGCCCGACTCTAGGTTGCCGTGCGCATAATGTTTCCCAAAGCTGTAGAGCTCAGTTTACAGAAGGAGGACGATTTATGAAAATGAAGTTTACTACGTGAACAATATCACATTCACCTCAAAGCAAGGAGAACAAGATATTATGATGATGAGCTTATACCCCGCATTTTTAATCCTTCATTTCACTCAACATACAAAAACATCTTAGTAAATGTCCACAGTGGAGCGAGTTGGGATAGTAAGCGACAAGTAACATATAATTGCCGACCGCAACACCTACGATCTATAACATTAGTAAGCATTTTAATACATGTTTATATTAAATGGAAGCGATGTTACTTGATAGTCGGCAGACAGAACAAAACTGGTTCATTAAAAGTGTGCCCTTATGTTGATTGATCCCACAAGTCGAGAAATTAGTAACTCCGATAAAGTAGACTCGATATGATAAAGAAATAGTTTGATGTATTGAAATCATTTAATTTGTTCTGCTATCAATACCACACCCCGCACCTTCATTTGTATATGTAAAATTAGTGGTACATGAATTTAATCAGCCTTGCGGTGCATTAAAGATACAATAGATGGAGACAGACTAACACCTCGTTACCAAACACATTGATATTACATGAAAACCGCATGATTGAAGTAGGAGCCTCGTGATAGCGTGTCACAGATTACCCAGCATAACCGTATAAGGAAATATCACGTCGTAAAAGCTGTCGTTTTATTTAGCAGCGTAACGGCTTGTCTGAACGTAAGGCAATAGACGGTGCCTTGCGTAGATCACTTCGGACAGATCACGAAGGGCTTGCTGCGCATCTGCCACGATGTCGGAGCTCTTTCACCGAATATACCGGTCTCTAAATGTAAAATGATGAAAGCAGTTCTGGATATGAGGTCCAAGAACAGCATTTATACGAAATCAAAGCATTTATCGGTAGTGAAGTCAAAGCTTTCTCCGTGCAAAGTGAACGGCAACCCTACATCCTCGAACGAAGTAAGATCTTGGTCGAAACAGATGTGAGACCAATCGATTGAGCGTTGCTGGGTCTTTGTGGCATCACAAGCCACTCCCATAACACACCAGATGATTACTAGCAGCCTTCAAAGGGACGTCCTCCTCGCTCCAGCCCACACGGGTGAATATCCACTCGAACAAACTCAAGTTATTAGTTGTGGTCATCTTAATAAAAAGCCTCATGTTATAAAGCCTGGAAATCTGTATAGCCATAAAAAGATACTCTATTAAAATCGATTATACTGTCGAAAACATTACTTTTAAGCAATACAAACATAGATTAAGTGACTAAACGGGCTAATGTAGTGCGTAAACATGACTTATGAAAAACATACGACTTGCCGTTGCAGGTTCATACGAATATGACTTAGCAGCAGTATATTTACGATAACTTTCGCTTCTATATTCATTGCTGGAGGAACCATGGCCGCGCGACTTGTGAAGCTTTAAATTTAGGTCAGGTTTAAAAAGTGGTACAACAAGAATTTCTTATGATTTTTCTTTTCAAATTCTAGACTGGACCTCTCAGAATTGGGTACGCTACTTTTTCAAACCTTTTCGCTGCGATAGATTCTTTATAACGTAAACATGGGTCTTTGAAATCCGGCTTTGTGCTCCGTATCGCGTAAAATCCAGCTTAATGTTTGCGACATGTGATTACGTAGTACTCAATTTACTCAATATACCCAATTCGGATTCAATATGTACCTACTCATCGTCAGTCCCACGCCCAGTATTTAATATAAGTAATCTCGACAATGGTCAAGTTCTGCACCAACTGTGGCGCTCAAAACGCCGGTGGCAAGTTCTGCTCTGAGTGCGGCTCACGACTTGCTGATGACGATCGTTCGCTGTCTTCATCTTATATGTCCAGTGCTTCCAGTGCTCCCTCTGCCATGCCTTTGGCCTCGTCTTTCGGAGCAGCTACTGCCGCATCAGCTTTTCGTAGCGATAGCTCGCCGTATGGAGGCAATTCGTATCAGCATAGCCCACTGAAGAATACGTTTAATGGGTCAATGTCACAGCCTCCTCCTCCACCTCCTCCTCAGCCATATATACCCGAACCAGTACCCACCACCTTCCGATCCAGTTTTAACAACAATAGTACGTCTTTTGCCCCCATTTTAGTGACTTCGGATCCCGTTCCACCGGCTGCAACAGGAGTCGAAGCAAATCAATATTACGAACGATGTGTTAGCACAATACGAGATTCAAAAGGAGGGAATAACGAGATAGGCGTGAAACAATTTAAGCAAAATTGCCGAAAATATGGTCTGAAAGAAATGGATGTTCAGGCATTTTATGCATCGCTTGTGACAGAATTGGGAGTAGAAGGCACGAGCAGCTTTGTGCCAACACTTGCAAGACTTGTACCAGATGATGATCGGCGAAAAGAACTTGTGGAGTATAATGCGCAACAGCGAGGAGGCTTTGGTGGCAGTACTAATGGCACGAATGACAGACAGCTAGCTCTTGTGTCTAGAAGCTCAAGCTTTAGAGATTCTTTTCGTGGTGACTTAATGCGAAGATCCAGTACTGGCTCGCAGAGTAAAGGTCTTTTGAATAACCGCTATGCCGATCATCCAAACTGCGATGTGTGCAATGTACGCTTTGATGTGACCAAAAGACGCCACCAATGGTACGAAGTATATCATTGCATGATAATGTGTTCGCTTGCTAATGAGTATTTGTGATTTATTTCGATTCAATTTGATGATATGCAGTCGTAAATGTGGATTGTATGTTTGCAGCTCCTGTTCGCCTGTCCGACTATTAGTGCCCCCTGAAATGGTGATTGAAGGAGCTAAGAATTACGATCCATCGCTTCCACAACGAGTGTGTATTCAATGTGCACCGATACTTCATCCACTTCAGGACGGATTAGTTGCTAAATATGCTCAGTCTCAGACTGACAATTTCCACGAGGCACGTGGTCGCTTACATATTCCATTCTCGAGTTCCTTGAACAAAGAATGTTGCAATGCTGCCGATATTATTGGTAATTTTTTTCGTGGGGATTGGGCTTCGTCTGCCGATCAAGCCGTTCCCGTGGCATTCTTGCAAAAGGCACATGGTCTCGCAATTATGACTGTCATAAAGGCTGGTTTTCTTGTATCGGGCAAAATTGGCACAGGGCTTGTAATTGCAAAGTTACCTGACGGTTCGTGGTCTGCACCATCAGCTATTGGAACGTTTGGCCTTAGTGGTGGGTTTGAACTTGGTGGTGAAATTGTTGAAGTGATGATTATTCTTGGTACGGAAGGAGCGGTAAAGGTCTTTCACAAACCGCAAGTGAATCTTGGTGCTGGGCTTGACATCACGGTGGGACCATATGGACGTGTTGCACAAGCCGCAGCATCAGCTAGTGCAAGTGGGCTGAACGCCAACTATAGTTACTCGCAGAGCAAAGGATTGTTTGCTGGCATTTCATTGCAAGGAGCCATTCTTGCTGCACGCTCGGATCTGAATCGAAAATTTTATGGTCGTGACTTGCAGCCAAGCGAATTGCTAAGCGGCTATGTGGCACAACCGGTTGCAGCGCGTCCATTGTATGAAGCGATTGACAATGCAATGCGAGGTGTTGAAAATCATCATATGGTAAAAAATCGCCGTGCGTCTATGATGGGGCCTTGTCGACTGTGCAATTGCCCTGTGTTCCAGGCACATACAGCACAGGTATGGAATAAAAAGTGCAAGACATGCAATCACGTGCATTGAAAAGCTGAACGAAAGCCTTAAATTTATGGCTTCGACAGAATTTATACATTATAGTATTTGCACTTGTCATGCTAATCAAAAATTTTTTAGGGATCTGACTGCTTCAATTTTACGCCAATATCTACTGACTTACTTTACGCCTCATTCAATACAAATTATGAATTGTTTTTCTGCGTTTATCATCTTGTTTAGACACAAACTACTCGTACCAGAAATGTATTACATTAGAACATAAGCAATTCATGACAATCATTCAAATATTTCGATTCGTTACTCCACAGTAATGAGCAGCGGTCGAGCAGTTTTAGGATCTTTTAAAACTTCTTCGTCGTACATTGGATTTGCCTTGACATGCAACACTTGGCCAGGTGCCGCAGCGCCTTCCAGCAATTTCACTGCCATTGGATTTAAAAGATATTGCTGAATCAGACGTTTTAAAGGGCGAGCACCGTATTGAGGACTGTAGCCAGCATCTGCCAACCAATTCTTCGCATCTAAATCGATCTTCATCGAAAGATCTTTTTCTTCTAGCAATTGATCAACTTGCCGCAGCTGTAAGTCAGCAATCGAACGAATGTTCTCTCGTTTGAGCCGGTTGAAAAGTACAAGTTCGTCGATACGATTGAGAAACTCTGGGGAGTAGTGAGAGCGCACAACGTTCAAAACGTCGGCTTCAGCCATGTCACTTGGTGCACCTTCAGGCAGCCCCGCAAGAATCTCCGAGCCAAGATTGCTTGTCAAAATAATCACCGTATTGCGGAAATCAACAAGGCGGCCTTGAGAGTCTGTTAACCGACCTTCGTCAAGGACTTGCAGCAAAATGTTGCTTACATCGTGGTGTGCTTTTTCAAACTCATCAAATAAAACCACTTGATACGGACGACGACGCACGGCCTCGGTTAGTTGACCTCCTTCCTCAAAGCCGATGTACCCTGGAGCTGCACCGACTAGCCGACTCACATTAAATTTCTCCATGTACTCGGACATATCAATGCGAGTCAGCGCGTGGGGTGTCTGGAAAAGGAATTCTGACAACGACTTGGTGAGTTCCGTCTTTCCAACGCCAGTTGGACCCAAGAACATAAAAACTCCTAACGGTCGATTGTGCGCATGCAACCCAGCACGCGCAAGACGAATGCAGTTGCTAACTGCAATTACTGCTTCTTCCTGGCCTACTACGCACTGGTTTAAATGGCTCTCCATTTTTAATAGTCGCTGCTTTTCACCTTCCATTAGTGTTGAAGCTGGGATTCCTGTCGTCTGCGCCACGACCTCAGCCACATGATCAGCCGTCACGGCATCCCCGAGCGACGTGCGACTAGTTTTTCCAGTCGTTTTGCTTTCCTCTTCTTCTTGTTCGTCATGTGCAACTATCGCTTCTAACTTCGGAATGACCGAATGCATTAACTCCCCCGCACGTGCGTAATTTCCGGCATTATGCGCAGCAATCAGGTCCCGACGCGCTTCTTCTAGTTTGCGTTTCGCTTGCTGCATATCTTCAAGCTTTAACTTTTCTGCATTCCACTCGTCCATCAATTCACTGAGTTCTTTTGATGCTTTTTTTACTTCTTCTTCCAGCGCTGCCATGCGCTTCTTTGACGCTGCATCAGTCTCCTTTCGCAATGCTTCAATCTCAATTCGTCTTAAAATAATCTCTCGATCCAGTTTTTCAATTGGTTCTGGTTTGCTCTCTTGTTGCAATCGAAGTCTTGACGCCGCTTCATCCATCAAGTCAATAGCTTTATCCGGCATCTTTCTTTCCGTCAAAAATCGATTTGCAAGTGTCGCTGCTGCCACGAGGGCACTGTCAGCGATTCGTACACCATGATGTACTTCGTATTTCTCCTTTAAACCACGTAAAATGGTCACAGTGTCTTCCACACCAGGTTCCGAGATCAAAACAGGCTGAAATCGTCTAGCTAAAGCAGCATCCTTTTCAATATACTTCCTGTACTCGTCCAAAGTTGTCGCACCCATACAATGCAGCGCACCTCTTGCAAGTGCTGGTTTCAGCATATTAGCTGCATCTGTCGATCCTTCGTTACCTCCCGCACCCACAAGCGTATGTAGCTCATCGATGAATAGAATGACGTTACCATCACTCTGGTCCACATCGTGTAACACAGCTTTCAGTCGTTCTTCAAACTCGCCTCGAAACTTGGCTCCGGCAACAAGTGCCGCCAAGTCTAATGCTACAACTTTCTTGTCTTTTAAACTATTCGGCACTTCTCCCAAGGCAATACGCTGTGCAAGACCTTCTGCTACAGCCGTTTTGCCTACCCCTGGCTCTCCAATCAAAATTGGATTGTTTTTGGTACGACGAGACAATATTTGGGTCGCACGACGAATTGAATCTTCTCGTCCGATCACTGGGTCAAGATTACCAGCTTTAGCGATTTCTGTGAGATCCCGGCCGTACTTCTTCAAACTCTCTCCCTGTGGCACGTTCTGTGGATTGATCCACGTCTGTGGTTGACCCATAGATGCAAAATTACGACGCGCCAAGTGGAGAATAGGCGACGTACGCAGCGGCACGCGGCCTCTTCCTACGCGGAGTAGTGCTTGCATTTTTCTGATGATTTCTAATGAGTGTTGGTCGTTAAATTGAACTTTAAGATGAACGTAATTTGAAAGAGCCAATCGTAATCCCGAATATTCGATGTGTATGAGTAGTTCGAGAATTTATTTGCATCCTTCGAAAGTTCTGAGAAAATGAGAATATCTCGTAAAAATCAGAATTTTTCTGATCGGATTGTCAATTTTTCATTGAGAAGAAGCTACAGCAAGTGATGTATCACTGATTTAGTTCTCGTTGTGTAGATAAAGCGGTACAACACACATACTATTCTAAGCGATTTTAGATTTAGCAGTGCCCAATTTCGAGGGCTACAATGGTATGCTTGCGCATCCGTTCGCAAAAGCAAATTCTACTGGTAAGGAAGAAAAACTTTAAGTGACAGAAACAGTTTCAATGAGCAATATGGACCACCTTGTCTTTTAGCAAAGCATCATGGGTGTTAGTTTGTAATGAAATTTATTGTGGGATGTAACTTGCGCCTTACACTATTGTCCTTGGGTATTGTCTGCTTAAATATAGCGATTCGATGTTGCGGTCTTTGGCTTGCCTCAATTCAATTAACCGGTGTAGGCTCTTAAGACTTCATCGCTATCTTCTTGTAAGCAATAGTGTGATGTGCACTTTTCGCTACAACATGAACCCCACTTTGATCTAGATTAACGCCTGGCTATTAACTGTGTCAGCAGGCTCATAGCGAGAAACAGATGTGCTTTTCGCATGATGGTAGCGGATGCTAAGTGCCTTCTTTTGCGCTTTGTAGCTTGCAACGTCAAGCAATTGGCAACATTCGAACGGATGTTCTGTTTATTCTGACAAAAGTTTGCACATAATGCTCATATTGAGCCATACAGTTGTTGGCGCTGTTACCAGGTCAAATCACTGGTACGATCTTTATGATGATACGCCGTTGCAGAGCCAAACACAAGCTGTACTCATGACGAGTTGTGACCTGCGGGGTCAGAGATCGCTCCAAGGTGGTCTCCGTGTCAAAAATTAAGAAAAGAAGGGTAACGCTGTTCAAAAATCTGGTAGAGCAGTGGAAGGCTAGACTGTTTAAACATTGAAGAGAGGAATGGTAGACGAGACTCGGCTATTCGCTCGGGCAACTTATGCAAGAGATGATCATGACGTATCAATCAAATAAAAATCTAGTTTACGCTGGACATGGGCACTTTGAACTTCTTGGTAACTTTATAGATATGCAGTAATGATGGCTTCGGAGAGAGTTGTACCTCAGAGTTTACTGTAGTACCGTTGTAAGCCTCGAATAACGATATGAGTACTAACCCTATTTGCTTTATTTAGTGCAGTTACTTTTGCCGGCCTTTGAAATGAGTTTGCTGCTGCACAACATCCTGGCTCTTGGCCATAGCGTCGCGCACGCGGCGAAGGATTTCAATTTGATTGCTGCATAATCACTGATGTTTTTCTAAGTGCAACCGGGCCGAGATTAGCAAGTCGAGATATCAAGGGCACCAAAGAGTGTATCACATCATTTACATAAAGTGATGGCAAATCCGTAGAGGAGTGATTTCCGTTCATCGATGCAACTCAACGAGGTAAAAAATTTCTCCGCTGTATCTCCCGCAAACGTTTTAGATAATACCCTTACGACGCATTTAACTCCTGCCGTATAACTATCTCTATTCATACGCTAGTGGTGAACATTTATTATCGGAGCCGAGTTTGTTGAGCAATGTTCTCCAAAACGTCCCAGCAAAGTACGGGTCTCTATTCGATATAATGGCTACCGGCAAACTATGATGGCGGGACGTTTTTTCAAATGACAGCTTTGCTCTAACCTCTGCAGTCAAACGCTATTGCTGACGGTAGCAATATGAGCCATCTTGTTCGCGTGGTCCACTAAGACCGCTACACAGTACTACCAGACGTAGACCAAAAATTAAGTCCATAATGATAGACTGCCATTACTGCACCGGAGCTGGTAGGCTGACTAAAGGCGTCGCCAAATACGGCAATGTTTTAATCTGCTGACACATTTGACCAGTCCGCACACATGCACTGGCCCACATGTAAATGTTGAACCACCAGAGAAAATTTTCCATTCTTTTCCTAGGTGATCACCCGAGGGCCATCATTAGCCAAATACACTTGCGATTTCGACCAAAAGGTGTCACTTAACGCTGAGGGTCTCAAGGGGAAGTGGTATGAAACAGCAGGCCTTGTGTTAAGGCATTGCGATGCAGGAGTAAATTCCAGCGATTTGATAGAGCGACAAATGAGTCCGCAATCATTTCTTTCGACAATACAGCTCCTACTGTGTCTGGCCAGTGCGCTGTACGCCTTGCCATCGCAATGTTTGATGTCACTATCGCAAAATGCGACTTTTAATAGTCGGGGCGACAAGAAAGCGCATTCGCCGCCATATTAAGCTGACCAAGCTTTGTACCTTGGACCAAATATATACTCAGCAAATTATCATCATCATGCCGCTCTCTGTGAGAGATGTGGCTTAGATGCTGCTGTACGCGAGAATACATTCGCACTTTTAATCACAAATAGATCAAGTCCAAACGGGTGTACCTTGAATAAAACGAGGGTGTCTTACTTCATGGCAAGAATACATTTTTATGAACGGGCAATTCCTCTTACCACTATATGGTGGTGAGGCCCAAACACGATCACACATTTTGAATTATTGGTATTCGTTTGGAGCAACGCGCGGACGACGAAAGACTGAAGAATCACAGACGTCGAGGAATGGCCGCGAGAGCACAAATCGGGGTCCAGCGTATTGTTTGATAGCCGTCGAATATTTGCTAATGCTGGATCGGCGTTGCTGGCCGCTTGCGCTTCCTCGTTCGCCTTGACTGTGTGAACATATGAGGCAAGCGCAACAAATTCCTTGGGATCGATCTCTGTTCCTCTTGCTTGGTACAACTGACACAATACATATGAGGCCTTCGTTTACAGCATAGAAACTACTTCTTCTGATCATTACTAAGCAAAGGAGATTGGTGAGGTGATGTGCTGTGTCGGCATAGTTTGCACTGTGCTTGTGCAAGCAGTTGGTCAGAGCAAACCACTTTCTCAAGTCCTTACGGACAGTGCCACTACTAAATCTACAGGTACCTTTGTGTTTGCGTGATCTGCGATTAAGACCGGCTTTTCAATGAAGCTAAAGAAATAGTTTGGTTGGCGCTAAAGCAACATTCACCTATGTTTGCAATCAAATCATTGAAGCGCATGCACCCGAGCTCTGCTCGCACGACTCTAGCTTCTTGATATTTACCTTCTGCGCTCTACACAAAAAATTGCGAATAGTCACGATGTAGCCTGAGAGCTGTGCAACGACGATTATTTGCGCGGCCTCACGCTCGGGATACTCAACTAAGTGAGAAAATTTTAATGTCTTCAATTAGCTGTTGCGGATCCCATCGAGCAGGTCGAGAGCACTGAGCAAAGTGTAGCCGACCATGCTGTCTTGCAGTACATTCTTTTAAAAACATCGTGTTTTTGCGCCGGATTTGTGGCTATATATAACATTTTTCAAGCCTACACAATTTTGCTCTCACCGTAAGCCCTTTGACACAGAATGTCGGCGTTGAAGGAAAAATTCATGTCTCTCGCCAAGCCCGCTTCGTGCTTCGCACCGAAGCAGCCGTCAACAACGTCGCACTTCTTCTTCGGTAAGCCCGCGCATTTGATGCATTTTTTGGATCCGGAATCAAAGTCAATTACATGACGCGCTCCCCCTATCAGATGATTACGTGCGTGTAGAATTTTTCAGGGTCACGTAAAAAGCATCCAGCACCACAGATTTCAAGAATTGTATGTTTGAGGATTGCTGCCCGTTCCTCGCTCTCAGCGCATAGCTTGACGAGTGTATTCTCACTATGATAGATACTACGCTCAGCTTCCTCAGTACAAGCAGTACTACTTCGGCGACCTTACCGTATTGTAACCCCTTAAGCATAACCCGGTGATGATATTGCTCTAGTTCAGTGATAGCTTCTGGATGTAATGAGGGTATATCAGCTTTCGGTCTAAATGATCGCTCGAATCACGTTTTTTCACCATTTACCTACAGATGACAGCAGACCACAGTCATTCTTTGCCTTTTCGACATAGATATTACGATATACAGTCGTTCTTTCCCGTCTCAACAGCGATGCAACCTGAAGGCCTCAATATACATTGTTCTTTCCCGTCTCACTTTGAGACCTGATGCCGAGAACTGCTAAAGGCACCTAGCAAACATATTAATTGCCTGCACGGATGCTACCACAGATTTCTTCTCCCGCCAAGAGTGCTTCAATTTTCTAACTGAGGTGGCTTCATGATTTGCCAGAGCTTAATAGGAGAGAAACACGAGTTTCGACATCCAAAATGCAATGGTTTGTGGCGCTAAAGTCACGTCATACCTAAAATGACCCAAATCCAGGTTCTCGATTCGACATCACCACACTTTTAAAGTCCTCGATCTTTACCAGAAGCTCCTATAAAACCCTCGACACTTTACCAGCCTCCCCGGCAGATAAATTTGGCCTTAAATGTCTCCGCGTACTGTCTGATATTTTCGACTAACGCGTTTCGTATAAGTCAATGCATGACTATCAGGATTTACCGCAACCGCAACAAATTCTGGGATGCTGCTAAACCACCAAATCTGTGCCTGGAGCCCACAATTTCATGCTTTCTCGTTTCAGAGGCTGGAAAGCATTGACTGCGACCGCCATCAGGTACAAAAATCTCAGTTTTTTCTGTAGGCTGCCTTGCTTCTTTTAGTACTCGCTATTTCTCTGCGAGGAGTTTTTCGGATGGTCTTGTTGTCAGGCTGACGCTTCATACCTCTCAATCTATGCGCAGGCGAAGCTTGAGTGAAAGAGTCCGAGTCAGCAACGAGGAAAATCGAGAGTTTCCGGCGTAACAACATCTCTTGTTAGCTCCAAACTTTCAAGTGAACATTATTTAGAGTGAATTGGTTCTGCACTACATCCGTGTACTTGCCCCCATTCAAAAGTTTCTACTGTTCAACGTGCGGCAAGCAGTCCGCGTGTCCTACAAATCTCCCCCTTTCGACATTAGTCCTTATCAAGTATTAGTAACGAGACCTCATCATAGTACCCCTGATACTTCAAGTCCAAGGGACAATGGACGTAAACCGCAATAAGGTATGTGCCTGTTAAAGTTACGACCGCAAGAGGCGATTACATTCGCACTTGGATGCTAGTATTGTTTGCGATGCGTGGACATACGATCACGAAAGCTTGTAATTGTGATCACCGAGTGATAAATTTGGCCAGATAGAAAATATTTAATTTTATTTTGATTTTTCAATTTCAGCTTTTGAGATGTAAAGTTCATTTTATCCAGTAACCGCGACAACCCTAATGCGGTCAAGCAGATACACTTCAACGTTCCGCAGTCTAGCGCTATTGAGCACAAGTCCTCGACGTTCCATCTCTAAGAGATCATGGACTCTTGATGCTGTGTATCGTACACTCTTAGAGCTCGGCCAGTCCGATGTTCTTCAAATCACTGAGCATCAAGCGATGGCTGTGAAGATGGCTACACTTGGTTACTCTGTATTTCTACACTTGCCAACAGGTTCCGGCAAGAGTCTAGCTTTCCAGTCTCCAGCTTTACTAGCTGAACGTCACCAAACGACTCTTGTGGTATCTCCACTCATTGCGCTGATAAATGTCTGCTTAATTCATCAATCTCATCTCAAGTGACCCACAAAAAGACTTAATACATGTCCATTTTTGTGGTTTGTAGGACCAAGTTGCAGCTTTAAAACGTAAAGGCATTGAAGCTCTTCAAGTATCAGGCGGTCAGAAAACAAAACATGAGTCATTAACTCAGATGCTCGATGGAAAGCAACTCGTATATACGACGCCAGAATATCTGCAGCTGAACGCTGAAATGCGAGAGTGGGTGTCTGTAGCTGCAAGAGAAGATCGACTGGCTCGAATTGTACTGGATGAAGCACATTGTGTTTTGGAGTGGGGAAATGCGTTTCGACCATCGTATTTGCAGCTTTGCCGCTGGAAACAGCAATTTATGAGTAACGTACCTATTACTCTTGTGACAGCGTCTGTGTCTGATGATGATATTGCAAGATTGGCTGAAATGTTTCAGCTGCAAGTAGTAACTTCGCTGCCCGTAAAATTTGATCCAATTGCATCAAAACATAATCAAATGGTTGTCATTCAACAACTGACGGATCGTACAAATTTGCGGATTGAGATCATACGAAAACCATCTCAAGCTGACCAATGGATTGCCACGCGAGTTAAGAACGAGCCGACAATTGTCTATTGCATGACACGTAGGGAGGCAGACGAAACTTGTCTTGCTTTAGTTCAGTTAGGATGCCACGCGGGTGTGTACCACGGTGGTGTATCACAAAAGCGACGAGAATTTGTACGCAAACAATGGATGATGGGCCAATTGACAATCATGTGTGCTACCAGTGCCTTCGGTGTACGTTCCTTTACGAAACTATAAATGATTAGCTCTTATATTAGTATTGATGGTATTGTAGATGGGAATTGATCGGTCAGATGTGCGCTTCGTTATTCACCGCTCGATGCCGGTGTCGCTTTCGGCCTATTGGCAGCAAATTGTACGAATTTTTGGTATGTAGGGTACATGATCTCACTATTTAAAAGTGGGTTAATATGGCCTAGGGACGAAGTGGTCGAGATGGAAGACCATCCGTGTGTGTGTTGCTCTATTCTGAAAACGACAAGAATCGTGCAAACATTCTCACAACAGATATACATGAGCTTAATAGTACGAATTTTGGTATATTTTCGACTGGTAGCTCACGAGGCGAAGTGGAAGCCATATCTGCCTATTGCGAGATGGAAACAGGCTGTCGAAAAGAGCTTCTCTTCTCTCATTTTGGCTTTTGCTTTGATTCATCTCGCTGCGTTCGAAATTGCAATTGCGGCCTCCCGCTTGACCAAGAATTATGTGATCGAGAAAATTTATGGGAAGGGAGCTCCAAATTGAAACATACTAGTGCTCCAGACGGTTTTTCGCATGGCACTATCGAGTATCAGTACCAGAAAGTCTTGGCAAAGTCGAGACGATTGAAATTGTCGAAGCGAGAAGCGCTATCACGCCGTTTGATTCGGGTAAATGATTGCCAACGTATCTTTTGTCGACACCATTTCACATCGTTTTGGTCTGTTCTTAGAATATTCTTGAAATTAAGCCAAAGTCAGAAGAAGAGATGGCGAGCATGCGAGGCATCGGAGCCGCAAAAGCTTCGAGGTATTTCTCCCTTTTTTGCTTTGATTAACTCAAACGAAATTATTCGAACAGCCCGAATGCACACCAAATATCGTGGTCCAGTCTACATACCTTTACATGTAGCAATGATCATCTCGATCGATGATAGTCGTGCGTAAACAGTCTCCGCTTGTATATTCGATAAAAGTCCATCTCGGTGGATTGTATCGACATCGTGGATCAGCTTCATTTAATTGAGCTCCTCGACTTAATCAGCATGTGCTCTTCTGTTTAAATGATATTTTCGAATCACATGGCAGAAGCATCCGATGTTACTACAAGGCTGACGATTTTGCGGACGTTAGCTTGCTACATTTATCACATTTCAACTCCGAATCCAAATTTCAGCTACTCGAAGCTGACATCATTGCAACGTGCTGCAGCAGTGATCGCCTTTGTTTTAATAGTTTGATAAATCAATGGCTGATTTAGACATGGAATAGACAAGAAAACGAAGAAAGTAACCAGCATACTACTCTCAACACAGCCGAGACGAATGGGTGAAATTGTTTATGATCCAAAAATGATGTTTACAAAAGTACCGCATACAGAAGAACGCGGGTAAAGAAGCCATTTAATCACGTCGACTGCCTACCTTTTGAGCTATTCGATGGACTTTTACTGTTTTTGATATTTGGTACAATTTTTTTGACTGCCAAATTAATCAAATTAAAAAGTTTTAGGACGAGTTTTAAGGCATAACTAAATAATTGCGAGATACACACGAATTGAATAGTGTAAGAAAAATCTGGCGCTGAGTGTAATCACTCTCCCGGCAATATAAAGGACATCAAGGAATGCTAATTAAAAAAAGACGATTAAGTACCAAGGATCAACTCGATATCTATATCTTGCCTTTCAAATGCCAACGAACATGGATAGAAATGCATTATGTGCGATGCAAGCCTCTCACCCGCGATGTTATCTCGCGATTCAAGAACTTTTTCACACAACGGGGGTGTATTGGTAATACAAAATTGTTTTGCTCCTATCGATGATGCCAAAGAACTCTCCCGTAATGATGACCTGAAAACATAAAAAGGTCTGGCCACTGTACAGCTGCGTCATCTTAAGATTACCACTCGCCCTTGATGCTTGTTCGACCTTAGCACTGGCTTGGGCTTGATAGCTGATGCCTCGCGTATAACTGTAAGCATCTTGGTCCCTGTGTTAGAATATCCACAAGCTGAAGCTTTGTGTCGTTGTAGGGTGAAGTGATGTCTAATGGCCACGCATGGGATTCGGCGTTCATGGCTAAATAATTTTTTTGGTTGTCTTTTCAAAATATGTACCATCCACTTGCTCGTGGTCCACTAAGGTATCGAACGCGTTCAAAGAACCCCTTGAGTGGAAAAGCTGAGAACCATTTATTTAGCTTTGCCGAGCTGAGTGTAACCATCCGCAGTTAATCTTAACCAAAAGTGCTGATCTTGAACGTCTGTTATTGGTAGAACTGTCCCATTTATGATCTAGATGTACCATCATCGCATTGGCAGATACCAGTATGATGTTGAACATTCAGGAATCGTACCAAACAGATAATTGCACTACAATGTTGCGGTTTAGGGGTCTCGAGGAAACTTGACAGCAATCGGTACGGCTTTGAATGCGTCACCAAACGATCTTCTTCTGTTGTAGACGACAACCACTCCAATTTTGGCTCTTGGCATCTTGTTGACCAAACTGCTGACCCCTTCGTCGATAAAGCGAGCTCTCTTGATTGTAAGTGTTATCACGGTCGATATACATGCTTATGAAGAATGCTTTGCCCAGCTCCATCATCCTATATGCATTTTCGTCTCTTGATTGACCTGATTGATGACCTCACTTGCTTTTTGCTGCGGCAAGCATGTTTCCACAAGCAGACTAACGTCGATAAAACTTTACCGCGTTCGCTTGGCATGAACGCACTGCCCCCAAAACATCATTGTCATTTTCGTACATTCGTTACGAGTCTCAAAACCGTTTAGACTATCAAGTGGATGCACGAGTCCCTGAGCGCTGTCGACACCAAGCAGAATTTTCACATACACGTTGAATGTCAGCACACCATTCAAAAAGTAGTAGCGACATTCAGACCTTCAACTTGATAGTTGCACTCAAAATATACTGCAACTATCATCCGGATCGATTTCATGTTGGCGATTGGGGAAATTGTGTCCATACTTTTGCTTAAAATCACGTGCGCAATGCCGTGCCGTGTACTGCACGTCAGTGCTGATTGATCACGCTTCTTAAAAAAAAGTCATCATGACCCGAGTTTGCAAATGTGCTTTTAAAGCTGGCTTTTATAGCCATGCTTGGTTCGGCTCGTGGGAAAGGCGCTCAGCTTCCATGGCTACACGCTACTTTACTGTATCGTCGCATGTCATTACTTCAGTATATGCAGTCGACAAGTCCGTATCATCCTCATTTTTTAGAACACATGTAAAACGGCTCCGGCAATGATTTTGTCTTTAGAAATTCTAGCTCACTTTGACGTCACTGTGCCGCTTCTTCTTTCCGTTGACCCTTGATCATCTGAGCCATTTCAATGTATCGGCATTGGCTCACGCCAGTGACTTGTTTGCTTCACGTTAGGCCAGAACACCAGACAATCTTCTTGCTGCACATGAATAGATGGATGATACTCTAATGACCCCAACCTGCTCCAACATAGCGCCCAGAAACATCATGAGGTGAACGCCGTCACTTGATTTACGCTCAACATCGTCCATTTCGGCGCATGCGAATGATTATTCGACAGCCACCATAGGTTCATTTGATAGCGACTGCCGATCCAGATGGCCCTATGCATTGCCATCATCAATTATAACTTCAATGGTCGCTACTGTTACGGCGCTTGCTTATCATATTGCGGTTTACTGTACGCTCATGTCGCAAACCATCTCCCAATTGAAACACCTGCCCTCAGATTTGCTGTATTTTTGGGTGACTTTTGAGGGGTTACTACGCGCCTGGTGTACTATTTTACACCTGAGGTCCCAGCACGAAGATCACAACACGCCCAGCGTTGAGTTGGTCCGTGTTGATATACAGCAAACATCTGGGAAAGGGTGGCTGTTCAAACAGCACCTGAAGGTTTCCATAAAGCGGCTCTGAGCTACCAAATATGTCGCTCGCAAAGCTGCCAGCAACGCAATACATTCTTGGGTATTTTCTGTACCACAATCCAATCACTTGTCGGTATGCAACGTCACTCTCGTGACATGTGACGATCAAAACTAGGGGCACTGAATTGTGCGTTCATCGTTATAAAATGAAGATTCGAAATGCAACCTATCTTGAAACTTTACTTGCATTGTAGGTGCCAAATCCGAGTACGTTTTGTGCGTGTTTCGCATTGGATTAGAAGGCAAGATTCTTTCGAGCCTTCAAGTAGACTTTTAGGTCCAGGAACATCGTCAACTCCGCCTCTGACTTCGAAACATGGTATCATCCAAAATCTGACATGGCTAGAATGACACGAGCCATATATCGACTGAAAGCCATAAAAACAAGGTGTCATACATCTCTCTCCTGGTGGACAAAATCAGAGTCATAAGCACACTTTACCAGAAAGCAATAATAGTGCGTTGAGCTTGGTAAAAGGCTACTTTAGCCACGCAGAACATGGGACTGTCCAATTTGACCAGCAATCATATTGCTACGTGCCTAAAAAGAGCTAAGAAGCAACGGGTAGCACTCTCAGGAAAGGGCTACAAAAATACGGTCTCGTGCTGCCCTATTCAAGGTCTACTCCTATCTCTCTTCGCACTAAAAATCATGGGTGTTTGCCATGGCTCCCAGAGTGTAGCTCTGGAGGGACGTTAAAGGGCGGCTGCAAGCTGGTTTGCCCTGTGCCAGAGCCAGTGGATTGTAGAAGCGACTGAGTGTGCAGGAGAGAGACTGCAAATCAAAAGTATGAGAACCAAAGCCTGAAAACAAAAAAGACTCATCTCACCAGATACTACAAGTGTACCAAATGCAATGCAATTTTCGTGCAATTTATGCCAAGAATCATTGAGTCAAATGTCAGGCTCATACACTTCACTCAGGACCTCTTTCAAGCTAACCAAGTACTTGTTTGCTCTGCTATTTCAAAAGTGACATATGGTTTTAAATAATTATACCTAAACTAATGCCGAATAGATACAAGGAGACTATCTTTATCCTTGAAATGAGGCTAGTAGCCACAGACCCATACTTTACATAATCCCATCAACCTCATTCATAACAATACTCTGGGCTCAAAAAACACTCACAATTACACAAAAGTATATCCAGAATACTTAAAATTGGATAGAATTTAGCTATACATAATTGCACATAAGTAAAAGGTATATATACACAATAGTACATACACTTTTACACAGTAGTACACAATTGTACAGACTTACCCGGCTACACCCTCCCACACCACATATAAACCACACAAAAGCTAACCTTTCTCTGTCATCTTAAAGCCTTCAGGAAAACGGTAGTGCACAACGAACACCAAAAACGATAGAATTCTCTTTCGCTTTGTTAGACGTTTTCGTGCACCTAAGAGCATCTTTGTGCTGAGAGTTTTTTTCCAATATCGTACCACATGACTCGGTAGTATCGCGACCGACGCCTCCTAACATATAGTTGATTGGAAGACTAATGAGCTTTCTTACGATGGTGGTCGCAGTGAGCCGTTAAGTCCTACCCTGACTCCTCCATTTAACCCCGGAGACCTATTTACCGATGATATTTTTTTTTGCCTCATATCTACCCTGCGTAAGTATGCACTGCGTTCATTCTATACGGCGAGAAGTGATGCGACGCCACGCCGCTGAGATCGCGATGCTGTTCAGTACATCGCTAATTAGTTTGATCGGGCATGGGAGCTCAGCACTAGCTCAAGAGCCCCATCGAATATTTGGCTCATCACGACCATAGCTTCAAACCATCAGTTGTTGCTCGCCTCGCTCGAGCGGAGCCCTTATATGTCCATGTGCGAGGGCCATATCCGCTCACACCGGATTCGAAGGAATGTCCAGCGCTTCTGATCCCAAGCCTCGCAGCCCCTCAGGTGTACTGGAGCAACGGTGGGGGCGACCTCCGGCGTTAAAAGCTGGTAAAAATGACAACAAATTTTACACGCATACAAGGTGAAGAAGAGTCTTAGATTTCAAGCCAGCTTTGTGAAAACAAATGGCCGACGAGAGCGTTGATTTATGCTTAACCGCTTACTCATTGTTGGGCAAGCCTTCCAAGTGAGTTTTCACTAAAACTTTGCCTATTAGTATTAAATTTATATTCCAAATTTCGAGCATCAATTTCGGCTCAGTGGTTTAGGTGTGCTGGCTTCATTCTGTTGAGTGAGGGTTCGACTCCCATTACGGTCAAAGTTATGAAGTTGTTACTTGGTGATTGGGGTTCACCAAGCTCCCCAGCAAGTGTCACATCCCCGGACATCTTTGATCTTTTGATCTTTGATCATAAGATTTCAAGGTGATGTATCCATAACTTTTTTTTCTCACGTATGATTTAATTGTATATACTGTATAGTGTATATTAATAGCTAGGTACAATCGAAAAGTCATAATGTCTAAGAACTATAATATAGACAAGCTGCAAACTGAATTATGCTTGACCTTGTGAAGCACAAATTACGACGTGGACGTCAAGATATAAATTTACCACCTCCAATTCTTGCCGTTAACAGCCCACGTATCTCCCTCAAACAGCCGATATATCTTCAGACCGAGTCTTGAACCTGCAACAAAGTCGAGTTCACTCTCAATGGGAAGCGCAATGCACCAGCTGGCTCTGCGACCTTTTCTGGCGACATACAGGCGCGGAAGATGTACGACTCCAAAGAGGTGTTGGAACAAGAGTATTTCTTTGCCAAAATTTGTTATATCCATAATGACCCCACATAATGTTTTACGGGACGTGGGACACCTTTTGCCCATCGAACAGCGCTGGCGAAGGACAATTCTCTAGCGACTGGCTCTTGTCATCGCTCGGCTGTGATGGTAGGCCGAATTCTGCTGGGAGTCGTGGCGCGGAGCCAAACAACGTCACCGCTTTGTGTACCATTACCCACTCGGAGCTGCATCGCAGCTGTTGCGCAGCTGATGGCTTGTCACAAGGAATGGTAGAAATGACGCTGCCCCGTCTTCGGCAGAGCACCGTACAGCCGATCGACTATCGGGATTGTGACATGGCTTCACCAATCCATGTAAAAGAGAGGTTGTTCTTGTATATTGTGGTATGCTCATAAAGTATGCTTTATTTTTGCTAAGACCGCGAGAGGCGAGATGAAGCATGGACGCACATGAGTCTTACAGACCGCAGACACTGCATATGCAAGTATGCAACCAGCGGTCAATCAATACCCCCCCTACAATATATTGCTAAGTAGCTCGGCTGCTCCTGGCGTTGATATGTTGATCTTGAACATCCTCGCTCTCAGCCACACTCCACCCCTACACTCATCCTCATTGAGGTAGTATTTGTAAGTTCTCTACAAAATGTAGCCAAGCTGATATCGGCGAGTCGTTGGGTTACGACATTTCTTTCCCAGCATACCGGGACCACTTCGTGGTAGTGACGAAATGATCCAAGCATCCATGTATATGGATTAAGGCCCGTAGAGACATGCACTGCGTTATTCAGCATGACTTCAATCTGTTAGAGTCTAGTTCAGCACCACACACACAGCGCAAATGCATCCTTCACCACGCAATTAGCCGATTCCGTATGACCATCTGTCTGTGAAGGGTCAGCGATTTTGCTGTAAAGAGCAGTTTCAACGAAATGACCACCGGTCAGCCCTAAAACATTGTCGAGTGGTATTTTGGCTGCAGCCTCGCCGATTATGACATCGCTGACAGCAGTGAGGTGAGCCATTTTGCCCGGACAGTCTACAAAAGCCACCACGATGCTAATATTACGAAACGCATCTATTAAGACCGAGCGGAGAGTTCATATGATGGACTGCAAGCACCAACCAGGCTGGCCAAGGTGCCAACACATGCGGAAACCTACTGACACGATTCACACATGCGCACTTACGCACTTACCTCGACATACATCTTGGGCCACTAATCCAAAATGCTCACCAAGGTTGCGCAATATTTTGTCTCTTTTGGGAAGCCACGTATAGTGTACAATGTGCTTGATACTGTATTTCCTCATCATGAGGTACATAACGCTCGAGGGTAGTAGTGATCAGTGCTAGACGTGCAAACGCCGCTACTTATTAGAGTGGCTCTAACACTTCCAGTAACACTCTTCTCTTCTCTGCATCTACGCCTCACCACCTCTGCACCTACGTCGCACGTATCGACTCTTCAGTGCGCCACGCACTATTGTGACAAACGTCAGCTCATAGTCGGAGCAGCGCAAAAGCGCGCATTAAGCCGATCAAGCCTAAATCTTGCCTCAAAGGTAACCTCTGCATAATACGACCGTGTTCAGGTCTCACTGTGCCTATCCCGTCACAAAACGTAAAATCGCTCGATTACACTCTCCATGAATGCGAGTTTCCTATGACAAATCTCTCGATGCCACCTTCATCCCAGAAACTGCTATATCTGCCATACGATTTCTTAGCCACAATTTCATATTAACATCAAGCTCAGCTAAAAACCTTTAGTTCTAAATCATACATACGAAAAATAAAGGTAGGAAGGAGTTGATCATTGGCATACGAAGAAGAGGCAGAAAGCTGTATGTACAAACGTTTCTATTCCCAAATTGTTTGATAGCATTATGTTTCTGCCATTTAAGAATCTCACGTCGCGGCAAAGGTTTGTTATCATTCACAAATTCTTGAAAGCATTGGCTTACTAAAAGCTTTACTATCTGATTTAGCGCTGGATACGTCGTGCTGTGTGTAGCATTTGGGCTCGGCATCAAGTATATGGATGATACAAGCCCTCAGCGAGACACGTTCAAGACCATAAGCGATGGATTGGTACATCTTTCATTCAAAGCACAAGTTTCGTCTTTTAGAACTTTATCTCACATCGATATTCGTGCAGATCTGGAGCGACTTTGAGAAACAAAAGGACGACAAGAAGCGTTCAGAAGAGTATGAAGTCAAATAAATCGTGTAGCAATGACATCATTAAGTCAATGTCTTCAAAGCCAAAGTAAAGTAAGATATGGAACTATGAACAAGTGGCTTTCACGTATTGATTACTTCGATTTTACCGAAGTAAACGAACAAGCGCTTGAATCATATTGCGAGCCGATTTCCAAAACAACATACCAAAAGCTAAAAGTCATTCAGAAAGAAAACATGTTATTGTAAATATGATTCAAAACTTCAAAGATGTCAACAAACCTTTAAAACCCGAGGTACTACCAGGAAACGCTGACAATGCGAACATCCCTAGAGTCATAAGTTGCAGCACCGAGCTCAAAACAACAAAAATGTAATTCCCCATGATCAAACAGCTATACAAAGTGCATCCTGTAATATAAAAACATCATTAGTGTCCGAAAAATCAAACTATTCAGCATAGTTTTCGTTACCAAGTGTTACAAAGTATGCGCTAGTTAAAAGTAGTCGATTAGGTTGTAATAGTCCAGATAGATATTCAGCTGGACCCTTGAGCATAGCAAAAGCACTCATGGAAGAAATACTTCCCAATGTAAAGCTAAGCGCAAACTTTGAAGGACGAATCATAATCTGCAGAGAAATATCAATCATCTTTTCAACACTTGAGATCGTCAATCTAACATACCAATGGCAAGAAAAGCGAAGCCATGCCAAAAAATAACAATCCAAGCATCGTCATTCCAACAAAGTATTTGAATCTGGTGTTCCTGTCCATTAAATATAAATTAAATATAGTATTCATGTCATCTCGATACGTTTTATCTTACCAAGTCATTGTCGGCATGAGGCCATTTTGAGGACTCGCGTGCTTTCTCCACAGTGGCCACTGCACGACTGTTGCTTCATCGACTTTATCATGTAAATGTCCATTTTCCATACTTGTAATTGGATCTGATGTTGTAGAGTTTTGCGATGTTGTGACCATAGTTTTAGTCAAGTCTCGTGTTGAATTCCACATTGTTTGTAGTGAAAAAGTAAGCGATTGTCCTTGATTTTCAATAGTTCTAGTCGATACAGTAGATAATGGAGTAGCCTGAAGTAGATGATGCAATGCATCTTGTGCTCCTTGAAGTCCATTCGTAGGTTTCTTCTTGCCCCATTGTTCCCAAGCGCTCATATTAATATTAACTAAAGAACTGACTTGTTCCTTATTTAATGTATTATACATCAAGTTAAAAAGAACTATTTCTAGAAAATAAAAAAGATGCAAAAGAAATATTTGTTTAAATACAATAAAAATCAAAGTTTAAGAAATAAAGAATCTCAATTGTACTAAATGAATAGTTTCAAAAAGTTACGAAAGTAATCGAGTCCGTCCCATTGATACTCGACGTGAAAACTTGCCACTTCCGGAACTTGTTGAGTTGCGCATAGCAGTTGCAATTGCATCTGAACGTGGTAATGAATTCGATGCAATATACGATTCAGCTAATGTTGTTTCTTCATCACAACTAAAAGCAAATCCAGTATTACGTCGTGTTCCAGTATTTCGTATCACATTCATCGAAACTTGATCCCATACCATATTTTCATCAATTCTTTCATTCATAATACTTGAAGAGTAACTATCAGCAACATTACTTGTCGTTGCAAATGTTTCAGACATTGTGCGTTCATTTTTTAATGACAAACGTTGATCATATAAAGTATGAAAACCCAAAATTTCTGCTTCGGAATGTCCAAAATCACTTAAATAACTTGTTGTATGAACATCATCTAATGACATTGAAAGTGTTTGTTCTTCTGTTTGATCAATTGTTAATCGTCGATGAGATTTCAATTGAGAAGATCGTCCCATTGTTTCTTGTAATAATTGTGCTAAATCTGGATGAAATGTACGTTGAAATAAATTGTAAGCAATGTGACGTCCTAAAGCTAAAGCACATCCCATGATCAAAATTAAAAGTGAACCATACGTTTGAATTGTTGGTAGAAATGCACCAAATTCATCATATCCAATTTTAAATGTAGCAAAGTAAGAAGTTTCAGTTCCAATGGTAGCAAAACAAAACCATGACATGACACTACCAAACCATAACGAAAAGCTTAAGAATGTCCATCGATCAGCAATCATCCAAATTTTTAAATTTACAATCAAAACAGTTAATGAAAATGCGATCATTCCAAATTCAACACGTGATTCACTTCCATTAAAATGTTCAGATGCATTAAATCCATATGACATGACAACAAAAATAATCAAAGATTCGTAAAATGCAGCAGCTATCCATCGTCCAAAAGTATAAAAATTAAAGAAAAAACGATCAGGACCACGTCGATATAAATCTGGATATTCTAAACTAAAAGGTGCTGGTAAATCTTTATCTAATACACCAACAACAACAATTGGTAATCCAGTGAATGCAACATTATAAAGTTGAACACCAATTTCCCAATACATTTTGGATCCAGAAGCACCAGATAGATAACCATACCAATATTGAGCTAATACAAGTGTAATGTTTTTATAAAACATATACAAAACAAGTTTAGAAATGCGAATATAATTCCAACGTCCATGAACAAGTAATAAACGTTCGAGAAATCGAAATTGAGCTATAGCATAATCACTTGAATTAACAGCTTGCATACCTTCTTGTCCTGAGATTCCAACACCAACATGAGCAGCTTGAATCATTGCGACATCATTTGCACCATCACCAATTGCTAATGTTCGTATTGATGGAATATTGTCACGAACTAATTTCACCATTTCAGCTTTTTGAGCAGGTGATACACGATTACAGATCACAGCACGACATAATTTTGCAAATGCTAACAAATGAAATGCTGTTTCTCCACGTAATGCCATTTCTAAGGCTTCACCATCAATAACAAGTGCAATTTCTTTTTCCATTCCATGTATCATTCCTTTGGAACCATCTAAAAAGTCACGTGTAGCTTGATGAAGTTTCTTACCAATTGCTTCTTCAGTTGGACATAACGTTGCATTCACAATCACTTGTTGAATTGTATTATCAAGTAATGCACATGCATAAGAAATATTAATTGCTGTCTCTTCCTTATCTCCCGTTAACATCCATACTTTAATTCCAGCTCGTGTTAAATTCGCAAGACATTGAGGTACTCCATCTTGTAATTTATCTTCAATAGCTGTCGCACCAATTAATTCTAAATTCGCTTCAATCTCTTCCATTAATGCATCAATTGCATTTGGTTTGCCATCTTTTCGTCGATCAATTTCATTCACATTTCCTTGTGCTTCATCAAATCGTCGTTTCCATTGTTGAAACCATCTTTCATCTAATGGTTTCACTGCTAAAGCTAATGTTCGTAAACCATCATCTGCATACTTTTCCATATGATCTCGTGTAATCGTTTGAAGTGTTTTCATCTTCCCATCTTCTTTTAATCGTTGATAGATCATCATATCAGCACCTTTTGTATATAACATTAACTCTCCACTTGGTTTACGTACAACAACAGACATTCGTTTTCGTGTACTTGTAAATTCCAATACATCTAACACTTGATACGTTACTCGTTGTCCTAATACTTGAACATTAGCACTTCCAACACTTCTAGATTCAAATTTAAATCCAGCAAATGCAGCACCAGCTACAAGTGCTTGTTCATCTGGAGAAGATGCCGAAAGACGAATTTCACCAGATTCTAATTGTTCTGGAATAACTGTATGACAAACAGCAAGATGTTCAAAAAATTCAAAGATTTTACTCTTTTGTTCTTCACCTGCTTCACCTTTCATAGCTTGAAACAATGTTTGATCAACAAAATTTACAAATGGAACTTGACTTCTTCCTGACTCTAATTTTGGTTCATTTGGAATTGGTTTTCCAGCACGTTTTAAAGCTGCTCGTCCAATTTCCGTTAATCCTGATCCATAAGAAATTCCATTGATAGAACATTTTCGAAATTCCATGATATTACAAGTTAAAGTTCCTGTTTTATCACTAAAGACATAGGAAATTTGTCCTAACTCTTCATTTAATTCCATTGTACGAACAATTGCAGGTGTATCGGTTTCAGCATGATACATTTCAAGATCCCAAGACATAAAACGAGATTGAAGAAACTTGACACTTGTCATTGAAACATATAATGAAATTGGAATCACTTGATATAAAAGTAAGAAATAATAAAACAACATTTGAATAAATGCAACAACTCGTGAACGTGTTTCTTCGGCTTGGGAAAGTTGAATATACCACGCATGTTGTACAATATCATATTGCCATGTAACATAACATGTAGCTGCAATTGTACAAGCTAGAAAGAGTCCAATACATAAAAGAATGATCATTCGATTGATTAAAAGCATTAAATCACTCCATTTTGATGGTGCAGCACTAGCACTTTGCATAATCTTTGTATCTTTGCCAGTATTTAAGACCAAACCATAAACCCATTCAATATTTCGTAAATTACATCCTCGTAAAAGTACATTCTTTACAGATAATGGCATGACTTCAATTCCACATCCTTCACTTACTTGTACTTCAACTTTTCCAGCAAATTTATTGATATATGGATTTGGTTGTTCAAATTTCACAAGACCACGTAATAAAGTTAATTCGGATGGATTTGTTAACGAATTCATCGTTGCTACAACCGCTTGACGTAATTTTAAATTCGTTTCACCATCTAAACTCTTGGTTTCAACATAACAAATGCCACTTGGTGGTTCACCAATTGGTTCCGAGACTGCAAGTACAAGCACATCAGCTGGAATGACTTCTCGATTCCGAATTTGAAGAAAATCACCAACTTGAATTTCTGCCCATTTTCGATCAATAATTTGACCATCTTGTATGACATGACAAATTGCACTATTAGCTTCTTCATCTGATTGATGTCGTCGTAAATCTTCCATAATAGCAAACACAGCATCAATTGAAATCACAAAGAATAAAACTGGAGCATTTGTTGGATATCCATACGTGTTACTGATACTTGGAATACTTTGAAGGATACAAACCAATAGAAAAAAAAAATTTGCCACTTTGGAAAAACTTTCTTTTAGAAATTTTGGAAGAAATGTGGCCAAATTGTACTTTGACGTAATCACAATGTTCGTACAATTTTGATATGGTGCATTTCCACTTGGATCATTGAAATAAACTTGACGTAATTCATCCATTGAGTCACGTAAAGAACTTGACGAAGCTTTCGAGACATAATCAACTAATTCATCTTCATCACGTACTTGTTCTTCTTGTATTTCTGATGGCGATTGAAGTAATGCTGGACTTCCTAATGTATTGTACCCACTTGTACTTGATCGTCCAATTTCTTCATCAGGAATTGGTACCACTGTGGTACATAGTGCCATTTCATCTTCAACACGAGAACCACGAAAGAGACGAGAAGGACTTCGCTTTGCCATGTTCATTGATCTTCTTACTTCTGTGAACGGACGAGATGTAACAAACACGAGCACGAACAACGTCTATTTGTAGCAGAGGAGAGACGAAAAAATAGAGTGCCCTTATCCCTGGCACATGGTACCAAGAGACTGGCTAAATGTCGACAGATTGAAACCTACACTTTGATGATATTAAAGAATAGAGGTGAAACATATAAAGTGGGAATTGGATGAAACATGGCGGGTTTGGATAATATATGGTTTCATAGGTTAGACCCAGTTTGCAAAAAGGGATTGTGCATTCGAAATAGTCATTTGTATCACAATGCAACGATGACACGAGGATACACATTGTAGTCAAAGTGATACTATTGTGCCTTGAAATTGCTATTATTAAGATTTTCTTAACTCATAAGTTCTTCAGCACAATAAATTGTAACGAATCTGTTGGAATCGTTTTCGCATAAAACTTCATCTTATGCTATGACTGACGC